ATCCTTGTATCCATTAAGTATGTATGTATGTATATATATATATATATCTATATACATAGCTATGTGTATCCTCCATAAAGCCAAACGTGAACCAAGTTACGCGCGCCAACTTAGCTATCGCAAATGGCAACACGCCCCACCTTGTATAGATATTGATAGTATTTGATAGTTATTCCCCCAGTAATCCCCATATATATATATATAACCATATGTAACCCAATAAATACTATATGCACATATATTGTCTCGTCTTCCCACCATCACTGCAGCCCCACGTGTCACATGTGTCACACCTGCAGCTGTTGAAGCTCCGTCACACTCAGGTGCTCCACCGCCGCAAACCTGCAGGGACAACTGGAAGCCTTCGTTGGAAATTCCATGACTTCCATGGTTGATCAATTCTGGGCTCAATGATTGAGGAACCGGCTCAATGTTCCATCATGATCATCATGTGCGGTGCACATTTGCCCAAGTCATCCAAGTCCAACACTTTCATGAAATTCAACTGGAAATTGGTACTTCATCAGCATGGTGAATGCTGTGTTCGTGGCCAACAATGGACCGGGATGGGTATGTCCCTACTGCATGCTAACTCAGAATCATCTGAATGAATAGAAACCGATAGGCCGATGGCGAACAACCAGGTTTTATGAATGCAAGATTGGTATCGCCAAGAAAAATACCCTGATGAAGCAACCTCAATGGGTAGTTCAGGTACCTGTACGCATTTACCAAGCGGATGGGTGTATCTCGCAATTTCTCATCTCGCAATATCAATTACAGCAGGACCATAGCATGAGACTGAAACTACACAAATATTTGCCACATTGTGTTGGTTAGATCCCCTCTGTCAGTTTTTGCTAAATCCGTGTTCTTGTTGAACGGCAAAGAAAACTTGTCGTGAGCACTACCCAGATTACCCTCTACCATCCCCAAACCAAGTGGTTGGTTGAAGGTGGGGTTCCCACGTTGGAGTGTTGCACTATCCCCATGAAAATAGTCATTCAATCCACATACTAAAACATCATGTCTAGTTTAAACAAAATCCTATTGAATCTCATTTTGGTGGCCTTCAAATCACAGTTGTCTATGGAACTCAAATGCCCTTTTCTCCATGCAAAATGGCCATGTTTTTTTGTTAGATCATAAATAACCCCAAATCCACTGGCTGATCATCTTCTCCATAATTGTTCATTGCCATAATTTGTAATTTGGGATATCTCCAATGTTTATAAATATAATGTGTATATACAGTATACATATATATATATATAGTGGTGTATGTTTCCTTTATATCACCATAATTTTTGGATTGTAAATTTCCCTGCCATCTGGCAATTCAACTTTTTGCTTGGGAAAATCAGCAATTTTACAGTAAATAACGGTAAATCATCTATGCGCCATGGCTTCCATAGCAAACTGTTGGTTTACTGGAAGGTAAATGGATCAAGTCATATCAGGTTGGTTAAGGTTGGTTAGTCCTATCCCATTCCATCCATGTAGTTCCCTTTTGAAAAATCCATGTATTCCCTGCATTGGTAACTGTATATACAGTACATATACCTATAATTTGATCATCAATAGTAACTATCCATAGATTGTAACTGGTATTTCCACACGGGTTTGGGTCAAACTTGGGTACCCCAATAATTCGATGGTCATTAGATGGTCTATACATGTCTATACTAAACATGAATCCAAAAAAATCTGTGGTCCGAGTCTTAAAGTTTGACCCATCCCATCAGGTGTACCCCCATTTTTCATCCATTTTACCCTTTGGTTATTTAACATAGCCATGAAAAACGGCCCATTTATAGATGGTTTACCAGAGGGTATACCTTTTATTAAGATTTATTATATAAGTGTATTCATCCCCATCATTTTCCATAAACTATCCTTTGGGGGTACCCCCATTTCTGCCATGGACTCACCTCTCTGGTACCACTTGCGCCACTGGGCCCGGCGGCGGAGGAGGAACCGGCGCCTCGTTCGACCAAACGGCTGAGAGCTGGGCGGGCAACTGGAGTTGCCATTGAAGAATCCGATCGAAATTTATCTGAATGGGGGTTATAGCTGGGAAAATCATGGAACTATGGGGAGTTTCCATTGCTATGCTTGGTCACCAGAGGGGTGTAAATAGGATGACCTACTGTGGTTGCACGTTGTTTCCAATTGACAAAGACAGGAAACCATCATCAACAGTATTCCTGACGGTTGATGCTCTCCACCAGATCAACATTGATATTTCATAGATTTTTCTTTGGGAAGCCAGATTTTTTTTCCACGCCTATGACCTATGTCTATTATATAAACTTTGCTGGATTGTATTCTATACGAAGTTCAGAAGAAAACCACCTCAAACCTCTGAAGACCGACAGTTTTGGTATGATGAACTGACATTGATTGAAACATAACACATACCAGTAGCTGGCAACATGACATTTGCGTCATCGTCATGATCAACGCTCGGATGCGGCAGCACCTCCGCTGGCGAACTCTTGGGAATCACCTCGACTCAGTCCATCAATGGCGAGTTTTGGGTCAAAGGATAAAGCGAACTTTGATCATCATGTTCCTTGTCAAAACAACATACACGTTCACGTTTTTATCGCCAAGTTTTGGGCGAAACCAGCAAAGAACAAAGGGGAAAGACCCCAAAAATTGGATTCGCTAGCGGAACTCATCAGCCAACAAAAATGGATTTCACCTGAAATTGAAGGGAACGAGTTTGATTGAAACAAAGAGTTGGGGTATGAGGTCAAAACATGTCAAAACTGGGTGCCCAAGAGATTGGAGGGCTGAGATCCTACAAGTTACCTCCATAAAGCTCTGCGAGGCGAACTCGTCCGACCCCAGCAACGGGTCAGGCAAAACGGGATTGGTTTCAATTGAAGCAGAACCCACCGCAAAATTGCCGCATCGAATAAAATGATGATAAACTCTAGAAATTGTGGATATTGTTTTCAGACACACCAAAAAAATGCCAACAATCTTGGATATATTCAGATCCAATTTTGCGCAAAACAATTAAGCTCTGCAGGTGAAATGACTCCGACGTTTCAGCCTCGGCTGATCAGCGTGATAAACGTCACCCTGGTTTGTTACTGAACTGCCAACAACCGTCACAACCATCTGTTCTGTTTAAAATCTTGAAGTATATAGTGGGAGTTTTACTAACCTGTGCCTATTCAACCAAGTTTAATTGGTCGGTTAGTTGTATCATGCTATGGCTATATCCCATCTATATACCATTGAACCCATCAGGTTGGACCCTACCCTGCCCACATCTCAACATTGGCCCCTGCTGTCTTGGGCACGGCAACCACCTCCGCTTGGACGGATTTGGGTCCTCGAAAAACTGCATGGCAGGCTGTTCACAGCAGGATACCAGGGTACCCGTTTCCAAATATAACCAGGGACCACGAGATACGAGACTTCACTCAAAATTCATCGTGGTACCTGCAGCTGAGGTCTTGTGTAGTCACTGGCCATCCAAGTTTGAAGACTCTCCACTCACACTCAAATCCTTGAACGCACACGCACCCCGAAATTTCATCGGTGAAAACTTCATTTTGCCACTGCTAAACAGACCACGTTTTTGCGCGATCCATCCAACCTATTTTTGGACCCAAATCATATGGTTTGGTGAAATTTCCGACTCTTGCACCGGCATTTGTGGGCACCCCCATGGAATAGTTGAAGTGGTTGCGCTCCTGGTGCAGGGGAACTGGACCACCAAGGCATCCCGACGCAAGCAGCCGCGGCCGGGAAGACCAGTCGTCTTTCAGATGCGTCCCGGGCAAGAAACAGTGATTCATAATTTTTGATGATGGTAAGAGTATGTAATAGTTCCAAAGATTGATCATCAGTGATGAATGACATTTGATTGATGTGTTCATGATGCTAAGGCTGATATACACTGATGCTAATCAGAGTGTGCTAAGGCTGATATACACTGATGCTAATCGGAATGTTTTTGCTAGTTGTTTCTGTGTTGGGAAGATTTTTGAGTGCCGAGTGCTGCGAAAATCACCTTGCCCAAACTGCGCCACCACAAGTTCGTAACTTTGAAACAGAATCTGTCCTTAAGCATTGTCAAATTGATCCAAATTGTGCAATTTGCTTCACCAGAATCTTGATATGTAACCAGTGTCAGCCGGCAAGGTGAAAATGTATCCCCTTTTTGCCGATCAAAAGCCAGGCTGTAGTCGCGTGGGAATCTTCCTGAGCGAACAAACTTCCCAAAACCATGGGGCCATGCTGGATCTTGTGTGCCTCCCAAAAAATCATTCAAACATTCACCGTAGTTGTCATATGGGTATTGATCAAAACCTCTTGTCCCAATATTTCAGGGATGAACATCGAATTGATGATCATTAAGTTTTCTGATTTGTTGCTGTTATATTTCAGTGTTTTACCAACCAAGCCAAAATAGATTGGGATGAGTGAATGTTCTCCTTACCTAGATAATATCTATAGCTAATGATGTTAATGGTCATGTGCCCCAAATCTTTCCGAAAGTCCCCTGGTTCCATCAGCTGCATCCACCCAAAATAAATCAACCCTAACCCACCAACAAAATCATACAAAATCCACGATATTCCCAGATTGGATGATTTCATCTCTCCCCCTCCACCAGGCGCACAGTATTGCCCCGCCGCGCTTTGGGAGACTGATGGATTCCACTCGGAAACCAAAGTCCCTCCAAAAATATGTCCAATTCAATGTAGAACTGATGGATTCCATTCAGAACCCAGAGTCCTTCTACAAAGGTGTTGCAAACCTGTCATGGAAGATACAGGCAATCTAATGGTTGTTTTCTCAGACTTACATGCACTTACTCATCTAATTCTCCACTGCACCAGCAAAAGGTTGCAAGATTGCGACTGTTGATTGATCTTTTGCGTGACCAAAACCGCCCATGGATTTGATCAGACCGAAAGCCTGGCCGCAGCCGGCGCGGTGAAACAAGTTCGCCTAGTTCGATTGGTTCAATTAGTTCATCTCAGCCCGCTTTCTGCGCGTCTCTGTTCCAGGCGAGCATGGTGCCGCAGCTGATTGTTGGCTCTCTGTTTATCTTTGTAGCGAGCCACCGACCTGATTCTGTCCTTCTGCCGGTTTGAAGGTGGAAGGGTTGCGGCTGTCTTCCGCACATCTGGATCCTGCCAGAATTTCTCCATTGCAGACTCCTCTGCCTCATTCTTGGCTCCGCAAATCTCACCAACGAAGCACTTGGTGGGACCTTCCTTTGGCCAAATCTTCGCACAACAACGGCTGTCTAGTGTCATTGTGCTTTGCCACCCACCTTCAACCTCCAGGGTCTTGAAGCTCGCTGAAGCAGGCTCGTTTGGTTTTGGTCGGACAAGGCGCCTCAGCGACTAGTGCACGGGCAGTTTGGGATCCAAATATCTCTGTAGGTCTTTTAAAAATTTATCCAATTTGGAATCCCAAGTCAAATTCATTCTTTGTTTTTTGGAGGAGATCACATAGAAATCATGCTTAAACAGAGCCAAGGACCTCAGGAAGTTGTTGAGTGCATTCTTCTTGGTCTTATTTTTTTGGGGGTCGAAACCGTACTGTGCTTCCGGTTTTGAACGCTCGCGTTTCCTGTCTGCGGTCCTGCTTTGAGATCGTCGTGGCTTCCTCTGTCGAGATCCACTCCTCCGATTTCGAGCTGGACTTCGTTCTGAATTACGTTTGCCACGGGTTCTTCCCACTGTTTCTTCAGCATGGCCCCCCATCTGCACTGGAGATAAATTTCAATCTCTTTCTTTGTGCTTGAACCAGGTCGGGCAATCATGGACGACAATTTCGTGAAAGTAAGCGGAATGAAAAGTCTTGCTGTAAACAGCCTTCTAAATGATATGTATATGGAATATTATATATGTATAATATGTATGTATACAGTAATATACGTATACGTATGCATACACTATATACATATCATACGTCGTATATCATGTATCAAAAATCATGTATCACACAGTGTTTTCTACAATATATCTTGTATTGTGGACTATACATGTTATCGCTCATATAGTTTACATTGGTTGTTGTACATCACATGTCATATCATAGACTATCATAGCATATCATATCGTATCATATCAGAACAGATCAGATCAGATTATATCATATCAGATCATATGAATCATATAATATCAGATCATATCATACAGTAGATGGACAAAATGTTCAAACCCTGCAACACACACTATGTTGAACCCCCGCACCCCCAAATCTCAATGTTTCAGCGCGCATGTTAAAAAAAGTGATGTTAGGGGTTTGATTTCTTACGTCCATTGGGGCTAACGCACTTCAGGTTACATTGGTACTGAACTTTGGGGGCGAGGGGGTTGTACCTGAAAGAATGAGTTTGGATATTTCGTCCATATACAGTAGGAAATACTAGGAATATGAATGGACCAATGGCTATTAGATCTCCAAACATTAAAAACTGTTCCAAAAATCCGAAAACCGAACACCAAAACCCACCCCTTTCTTTTCTTTTCAGATGTTTGCCCTAAGCTTGGCGCCGAGCTGTCTGCAGCTAACTGCAGTTTCTTCAGAAGTGAAATATACAAGACATGACGAACATATAAGGGATAGCCTCCAAACTCAAATAGACAAACCAAAAAAATGTTGAAGATTTTGAACACATCCCAAGGATAACTTCAAACAACTGACCCAAAGAATGTTGCGCCTCCACGACAAAGATCAGTAGAGTACCTGTCAACCATGATTGGTTTCTATGGGGATGCCTCTGGTGCAGAAACTGTGCACTCCACATAGATGAATGACGGAAGAAAATCCAAAATTGCCTACCCGTGACCCGTGAAAGGCTGCTTTGAGCTCCAACGACATTAATGTGCAATGCACTAGAACTCATTTAAGCATGTCTATATGCATTCGCACTAATGAATACAATATGTATATATATACATACATTATATTATGTCTATTGACTGCTATGTTTCAAACACTTTCAGGCCATCACTGAGCATCCACAGCACAACAAATACACAAGGAAGTGGCGGCCAATAGCCATGGATTGTGGACGCCATTTGATTACTGCCGTATGGAAGAAGTCTTAGGGGCAACCATGGGAAACCCCTGTCTCGCACTATCCCCATGAAAATAGTCATTCAATCCACATACTAAAACATCATGTCTATAGTCTATAGTATAAACGAAATCCTATTGAATCTCATTTTGGTGGCCTTTAAATCACAATCGTCTATGGGACTCAAATGCCCTTTTCTCCATGCAAAATGTCACTATCAAATATATAGATATTAGATATGTATGTATATATATATATATAGATAGATAGATAGATAATGGACATGGGTTAGTCGACAAATAACCGCAAATCCACTGGTTGATCTCGCCATAACTTGTAATTTGGGATATCTCCAATGTTCATAAATAATACAGTGTATATATATATATATATAGTGGTGTATGCTTCCTTTATGTCACCATATGTTTTATGGATTGTAAATTTCCCTACCATCTGGTAAATCATCTATGCGCCATGGCTTCCATAGCAAACTGTTGGTTTACTGGAGAGTAAATGGATCAAGTCATATCAGGTTGGTGATAATAGGTTGGTTGGTTCTATCCCATTTCATCCTATTTGCATTGTCATGCCCCTATAGTTCCCTTTGAAAAATCCATGTATTGCCTGCATTAGTAACAGTATATACAGTACATATACCGTATACCTATAAATTTGATCATCAATAGTAACTATCCATAGATTGCAAGTTACTACTGGTATTTCCGTACGGCTTTGGGTCAAGCTTGGGCATCCCAATAATTAGATGGTCAATACTAAACATGAATCCTAAATTCTGTGGTCCCTTGAGTCTTAAGTTTTGACCCATCCCATCAGGGCTACCCCCAAATCATCAATTTTTCTTGGTATTTTCCAGAAACCGTCCATTCGGGGTACCCCCATTTTCTGGAAACCCCCATATTCCATCTGCCATGGACCACCTCTCTGGTACCACTGGCGCCACTGGGCCGGGCGGCGGAGGAGGAACCGGCGCCTCGTTACGGCTGAGAGGCGGCGGGGCCGGTCAATGACTCATGATGACTATACTCATAGGGATAAGACTCCCAATCAACTCCAAGTTTACCTCAGGTAAAAATAATATCAAATAATCAAAATATCCAGCGATTAGTTTAAGGTTTTATCCCAAGAAAATAAAACATGATCTGATCGATGCCCCAGGGCCCCCAGGCCGCCATGGCGGTGACGTCGGAAGAAAATCACAGGAGTTTCCCCGAAATCGGCGGAAGAACCAAGAGACTGTGTCTGAAAATTGTTTGTTGATATGTTTGTTTACTCTAATTCATTCTTTTTGAAAAAAATGAACATTATATAGGTTCGAAAAACCACATGAAATAAGGTTGCCAATTTACCAACAAAAGAAGAGAAAGCCATCTTGAAGGGACTTTGGTGCTGATTTCCCAATTTGACGAATTAGTGCAAAGCTCGTCATGCTGGTATATGCTAGTGGGAGTAGCTAGGGGGAGATGGTGATCCCTCGATCAGATTCAACTCAGGAATCCTCCGAAAACCCGCACCATTGGGAGGCTGGGAGGCTACAATAGCCCTGCTTCATCAGCATTCCAACTGAACGATCCATCAGCATTCCAAACAGAAAACACAGACAGCCGTCTTGAGGCCTTCCTCTGGTTGTCGAGCCCATATCCATCGATTAGAGTCATTATCGATTGTTTTTACCCAAGGAACCTGCAAAGTCACAAACATGTTTTATGAAATCACCAACGGCCATGGTTGCGCTTGTGCTTCAGCGTTTGAGCCAATGGCCTTGCCGGAAAGGTCGGTATTTTACGGTGGCAGACGAATGGCCAGGGGATTGGAGAGATTGATCCTTCACACAGAGTCTTTTCTATAGATTCTATAGATGATTTCAGGGCACTTGGCCATCTAAAGCACTGTGCTTGTGAAACCTTGGTTCACCATTTGGGAATTTCTGACCCCATAGCCCCATACCTCCAGCTCCCTCATCTAGATGATGCCAAACGACTGAAGAGACTGGTGGATTTTGTTCAACCAACTTTAAAGTATCCAAAGTTGGGGACTCATTGCAAGTACATCGGCACAACTTCGTTCAGTGATCTTCAATGATGTTCAGTGAACAAATTGGACTTGCCATGCCTGATATTTGATTCGCTGTGCTTCACTCCACATCCTGGGCTTTTTGACCCGTGCAGCGCCCGGGGAGCCATCTCAAAGAAATCAATATCTGTCTGTGGTGGCGTCTGTCTGTGGTGCCACGTGGCGCCACCATCACCAAGTGAAACGTAGAGATTGGTCACCTCCTCAGGACAAGGGTCATCCATCTGATGCTTTGGTGGTTTCAACCCCTCTGAAAAATATTAGTCAGTTGGGGTTATTATTCCCAATATATGGAAAAAAATGTTCCAAACCACCAACCAGATTTGATGCTTTGTAGTTCAGCCGGGGTGTGGACTTGTCCCATTTGATCAACAGAGAATTGGGGGGCAGTGTCTCTAGCAACCCTCGTTACAACCGAGAAAGTAAACACAGTGACACATCCTGCCATCCAAGGCCAAGGACTCAAGGGCAGTGCAGATATAAGCATCAAGAGGGATCAAATTAACCCAAATGGCAAGCCAAAGGTGCAATGCGTCTTTTGTATAATGGTATGTTCCCGTTGCACTGGCTCACAATCATGCCTATGTTCCCAAACATAGAATAAAAATCCCTCCAACATAGACCCTCCTATGGAAATGGAAGACCAATATCTTCTAGACTGGGCAATGTGCCATTCTCAGGGTCTATGTTGGGAGATCGGTAATTAATTGCTCCACAAGTTGGGATCTAAGTCCTAGTACAAATATGGTTATATATGTAGCTATGTACAATATATATATATATATAACATAAATATATATATATAACCTAAATATATATACTATATATATATATATCATAAATATATAAATATATACATGTATATATATAATTAGAAATTAATTAGATATTATATATGTATATATATATAATAGATCTAGATAAATGTCTCCAGGTATAAGCGGAATTGCACCCCCCCTGGTATAACCCGAATAATCTACCACTTGGTATTTTGGGCATTTCCTTTTTAGGACAAGCCGTGACGAACCCCGGGCCACTGGGGCCCCGGCCGAATTGTGCGGCTTTGCGAATGGAGAACATCTTGCACGTTCTCTTTAAAGGCCCGGACCTCTTCTGGTGGGAATCTTCCTGATGAAATCGACCAATTAGGCTGGATCCAAACTGGATCCATGTAGAAAAAGCCATCTAAAATGCTGGGTTTTGCCATCAAATATGGGGTTCAACATGACTTTACGCCAGGGGAGCCGCGGCACCACAACACCACCGTGCCAGATCATTTGGTGGTTCACCCTGATGGGTGAGTTCACCCCAGCTGATTCAGTAGGATAGGGTAGGGATGAGTAGGAACAATGTCCAGTTTCAGTTCCTATGATGAACCCACCTCTGGGTCCATGTTCAATCCCAAAGCTAGGATGGATGGATGGATGGATGGATGGATAGATAGATAGATAGATAGGATAGGATAGGATAGGATAAGATCAGATAGGATAAGATAAGATAAGATAAGATAAGGTATGATAAGATTAGATTAGATTAGATTAGATTAGATAAAATTAGATAAGATAAGATTAGATTAGATAGATAGAT